ATCAACACTGCAGTGGAACTAATTTATCTACTGGTTAATTTTGTGCTAATTTTTATGTGATAATGCCATATACTGGTGAATGTGACAATTATGGCCATACTTGCATGCAAAAGCCAGACCCCATCAGACCTTTGAAGCTGTGCAGGGCAGAGCCTGGATAGTACAATAATGAGAGACCTCCGACCAAGTGCCACAATGGGGGGGCTGTAAAGTAGCCTCGTCAGACCCTTGTAGTTTGCTGAGATTCACACAAGGGTCTGGGATTTCTCAATAGGAGATGTATTTCAGAAGGCGGGGCCTTGTAAAAAAAAAAATCCTTGTACGTGATTGGATAAACCACTTGTTTGGTATATTGGATGACGTGCTACTTTAACGACTCACTTCGAAGTACACGATTCAGCACCCGACTCCCATGGTATGCGAGATGCTGGCAAGATTTTCCAGCCCAAAACCTGCGAAAATGCCCACAAAAAAACACCAAGAATGATTTTTTGGCAAATAAGTAATGCATTCAACTTAGACTATCATAATCCGTGTATCATTTGTTCTTTTGATTTTCTAAATAAAACCAACATTGAAAAAACAAATAACGAGGGATGTTTTTGATTCTCAATATTTGAATTTAATGCAAAATTGAAATATCGGTTTGTTTTTGGTTTTCTGTGGATCCAATTAAAACGAAAATGCAGTAAACCAATAATGATCGTCTAAATTAATTTTTGCAATTTCCATTTGAAACACAAGAATCCCCCGGAAGTGATTCGCAAGTGCGCACCCCGCAGGTAAACAGTGGAGTAGCGGTGGAGATGAACTAAATGATGGGTGCGTTGGAAGACTTTGCAGATACAGCGATAGAATGCTTCTAAAACATTCAAACATATGCAGAAATATCAACCACGTTACACCGACTAGGTTTGTCCAAATGTCAAGTCATCAGCTGAGTCATGTCCCTTCTTTTTGATACAGTGGTTAATCACGAAAGCAAACTTTTTGAAGTGGCTCAGAGAAAGGTATTCTGAGTAAATGTATTCATTAAACATGGATCATGTTCCTGCCCAATATATACATACATATATATTTTTACATATCAGCCGCCTTAAAACTATTGCTGCTCCATCTCTTTTTCCTGGAATAATTTTATTGCAACATTCAAGAGGGATTCTGTCTCCCGAGGCTCAGGAATCACAGCTTGTTGTGTTTTGGCAAATTATGAAGGCCAAAGACTAAATTCATCATGTATGTAAATCTTCTGTGTGTCTGTTCCAGTGTAAATATTTTTGATTTGTTTGTTCCCAAATTAAAACACACTTGGACACAATTCTGTACATTTTTTTTCTAAATTGTGTTGAATAGCAATGGAAAACCCGTTAAAACAAATACTGTTAGTGGATTATGTATCAATAGATTTATGAATTAGGAAATGACATTCTTAACTAAACAAGACTGTAAAATGACAAGTTGTGTATTTGAATGTACCTTTACAGAACAACTTACACCTCAGACTTCCTTTCAGCAGCAACATGGGTCCAATTTTATTTAGACTTTACTAAGGACCTACATGCAAGCACAGGATCCAGAGCTAAGAATGAAAGAATAAAACAAAAAAAAAGCTGTGTTAAAAAGACACATAATCACATATTTACAGCAAGTCACACATACAAAGAAGCCAGTGACTCCAAAGTTTAGAAGTGAACCTGACTGAGCTGATGTAAGGGCAAACCAGGGACTGTACAATACTATTAGGTACCATCATGACTCTACACATGAACTGATAGTAGCAGTGACGTAGGAAAGGAGCGCACCCTGCACTCAGCAAACATCTGACTGGACGACTGTGTCTGGGATCTTCAGCAGCATCCTCATTCAGTCATAGGAAACTGTTCACCTCTGCAGACTGACTGCTTGTAGCTCCGCCACAGTTGGTCTGTGAATAAAGGAGCCCAAAAAGACTGGAACAAAGAGGTTTTTACATTCACAGAACATGTTAGACTTCCTAACCAGCACGTTAGATTGACCACACAGTTTACATCTGTGAGGTCACTGCGTGTGTAATGCCCATTAAGACCAGGACAACTGGATTTAAGAACAGTTTTTACACTTTCAAATGTGACAGAACATAATGTACACTAATGAGTACGTGCTTTTTCATGCAATGATTCTAATTTTGTAACATAAATTTACAATGATAAACACGAGTTTAAAGTTTAAAATGTAAAGGAACAAAAAGGAGATTTGTAGATCAGTTATTATTAATTTTATTGCATTAACATAAACACATCCATCTTTGCAGATCACTGGTACAGGCCAGGACCAGCTGGAGAGCTGTGCAGATCACTGGTACAGGCCAGGACCAGCTGGAGAGCTGTGCAGATCACTGGTACAGGCCAGGACCAGCTGGAGAGCTGTGCAGATCACTGGTACAGGCCAAGGCTGGGAGTAGTGTGAAGTCTGAAACCTTTACCTCCTGCACACCCAGTGAGATCTAAAACAGAAAAGTGGGTTTAGAACAGACATATAATTATTACTTGTTATAACTTAACTATCTTATAAAGTCAGAAGAGAAATAGTAACCACCAAACAGAAAGATGCTCTGCTAGTCTTCTATCAGGACAGGAACTCAAGCTGAACATGAGCCCAGCGGCTTTGACTGTTTCAAACCTGCAGTCTTTCTGACTGTTTCAAACCTGCAGTCTTTCTGACTGTTTCAAACCTGCTGTCTTTCTGACTGTTTCAAACCTGCAGTCTGAGGGCTCCTCGTTTCTCTTCATAAGCCTGAAGCATCTAGCTCTAACTAACTACTGTCCCTCGACAATATTTGAGAATGAAGCAGAAACAAAGCACAATTGAATGGTTAAGGTACATCTAGCATCATCTTTTATTTACTAAAATTTAGCATGATTACTTTCACCAATACACAAACATATCATGTCCTTATATAATATGAAAGTCTATAACATACATTTATAATAATAAAGCACTCACATTAGGTACATTTGTTACATGTGTAACGCTAAGTGTTTCATGTTTGTCGTAGCTAATGCCAACTTAGCTGTTAGCGCTAGTTGCTAAGTTATGTCTTACCTTGACACTTGTGTATATATTTTTCATCGAAGAACCCCTTCTCTCGTGAATCTGAGAATTCTCATCTGCGATGGTCTCTGCAGCAGCGAACGAAAAAGCTGGTAATCTGACTGATGTTGAGGAGAGTTTTAAGAGACATTTCTCCTACAACCAGCGCTAACAAGGTGCGATCCAAGTACCTGGAGGCGACACTTCCTGGTCTCGTGACAAACTCGCACTTTCGAATCTTCTTCTTCTTCTTCTTGTGGATTTCCGGCAGACTGTGCGCCAGTCGGCGCATTGCTGCCTTTCACTGGTGGATCCAATTATTGCACCCTAGGTCCATTCAAATTCTCTGGTACAGGCCGGTACTAAAAATAAATTCCACAAGCGCACGAAAAACTTCTTGCTGCTGCACATGGGGAGCAAGCAATGATCTCAGATTCACACGCTCAAGTCCCAGGTGAAGAGCACGAGAAAACAGCAGTCTTCTTTGGTCCACATATTTCCTACATTGTAAAAGAACATGTTTCACTGTCTCTTGCTCACTGCACTCTTCACACAGGCCATCTCTGTGCTTACCGATCCGATACAGGCTTTGAGCAAGCCCACAATGACCCAGTCTCATTCTGGTTATCATAACCTGCTCCTTCCTGTTATTCCCCCGGGTTGCTTTATCCCCCCCACTAATACTCTGCTGGATGCTGTAAAAGTGCCTTCCTCTTGTCTCCCTGTCCCATGCTCTCTGCCACTGCTCACACACTCTCATTTTAATTAGATGCCGATGCTCACACACACCAAATGCCACCATCACCTCTACTCTTTCGCTCTGCAAGGAATCTTTAGCAATCCTATCCACCACCTCATTTGCATCTACCCCCACATGCGCTGGAACCCACAAAAAACCCACATCATTCCCTCCCCTCTCTATCCTACACAGAACGCTTAGAGCCTCATATAAAAGATCTGGTCTTGTTTTAGACGACCCTGCCTCAAGAGACAGCAACACAGCCGCTGAGTCTGAGCAGACAACCACACTCTCTAGTCTCAATCGCTCAATCCATTTAAGGGCCCACACTATTGCCATCAATTCGGCTGTAAAAACTCCAATTCCATCTGGGAGTCGTCTGCCCTGACTCAGGGCCAATGTTGGGCTGTGTACCCCAAACCCTGCTCTCCTTCTCTGAGGGTCGACCGACCCATCCGTATACACTTGCAGGGCACTGTTCCAGTTGGTCACCAATACCTCCCTCACAATCTCTTGGGCACACACTCTTCCCCTTTCTTTAAGGCCCTCTTTAACGGACCAGTCCACCTCCACCTGAGGAAGCAGCCATGGCGGGACTGAGGGCCAGACAACCACCGGAGCCGTGTTCCTCTGCCTGAGCTCTGGAATCTCATCCTTTACCTCATAAATAAACGTTCTCCCCCCCCTTCCTCCTGTCTCCCATGTATCCTCCATCACCCTCCTAGCAGGATGCTCTTCACGTTGGCCTTGTGATTTTGCCACAAACTGGAGGGCCAGTTTTAACCGCCTCTTCTCAAGGGACATCTCCCCTACCTCAACCAGGAGAGCTGGTACTGATGTTGTTCGAAAGGCACCACAGCACACTCTTAGGGCCTTGGCTTGAACCACATCCAACTTAGCCAGATTTGTTTTAGCTGCATTCCCATACACCAGGCTTCCATAGTCCAGAGACGACCGCACCATTGCTCTGTAAATCATCAACAGGGTGGATTTGTCTGCTCCCCAGTTACTACCAGTCAGGCAACGCATTACATTAATAACTTTATTACATTTACTCACAACTTTCTCAATGTGCCCTTTCCATGTCATCCTTTCATCAAAGTAAACCCCCAAGAATTTAAATATCCGGACCCTTTCCAGTGCCACACCATACAACTGCAGCCCTATACTACCAACCTTTTTGTTTCCGAAGACTATACATTTTGACTTCTCCACTGAGATTTTAAACCCCCACTGATTTGCCCATTCCATTATCCCATCTAGCGCTCTCTGCATTTTATTAATAACATAGCCAGTATTTCTCCCCCTCCTCCAGACCGCCCCATCGTCCGCAAAAAGAGACACCCCATAACCCGGCCCCACACTTTTAAAAATATCATTTATCATTACATTAAACAAAACTGGACTAATTACACTCCCCTGTGGAGTACCATTGTCAATGTTTACCGATTGGGACAATGCACTTCCTACTTTTACTTGAATTGTACGACCTAATAGAAACGCTTTAATCCAATTTAAAGCACGACCTCTAACACCTGCATCATACAGTTTCACTATAAGTCCTTCTCTCCACAACATATCATAGGCCTTCTCAATATCCAAAAATACAGCCACAAGAACCTCTTTACAGGCGATTGCTCTCTTAATATCACAGTCCAGTGACAATACTGACTCCATGGTGCTTCTCCCTTTCCTAAAGCCATTCTGATAAGGGACAAACCACCCCTCTTTTTCTAATTTGTACACTAGTCTGTCTGTCACCATTCTTTCCATAATTTTACACAATACCGACGTAAGCGCTATGGGTCTGTATGATCCTGGGTTGTTTTCAGCCTTTCCTGGTTTTAAAATGGGAATAACCACTGCCTGCCTCCAGGCTAGTGGTACACGCCCTTCAGCCCATACATTATTAATTAACGACAGAACCTCTTGCAGTACATCCTCCCCAAGATTTCTAAAAACTCTGTACATCAAACCATCCTTTCCTGGTGCAGTATGACCCCCCTTGTCAATTGCTCTGACTAACTCTGTAAAGGTAAAGAACAGGTTTATATAATCAGAATTGTCACAATTCATTTCAGTTTTATGCTGATGCACAGCCAACATTGAATCCCTCCTTCTAATTCCCTCCCGTCCCAGGTTTGCCCCACTATGCACTGCTTGAAATGCCTTGGACAATAGATCTGCCTTTTGCTCGTCATTAACCGCTGCCCCTCTTTCACTCTCTAACACTGGAATAGACCGAGCACGCTTAACCCCAGACATACGCCTCACAGCTGACCACACTCGCTGGAGAGTTGTCTCCGCTCCTAGCTTGCTGCAATACTGCCTCCAGCACATTCGTTTTGCATTCTTGATAACCCTCCGGGCCACTGCTCTCAATTTCTTGTATTCTATTGCGTTTTCCTCTGTTGGATACTTCCTAAATTTCTTATACATTTTATTTCTATTCCTGATAGCGGCACTGCAGTCCTTGTTCCACCAGGGAACACAACCCTTTTCTCTTGGTTTACCCTTTTCTGGAATAAACAACTTAACATTATCAGCAATCATACTGCACAAACTATTACTCCAGTCATCCACTGTCCGGTCATCAACTTTATCCAAGTCTCTGCTACAGGCCTCTGAAAACTCTCCCCATTTTGCCTTATTATAATTTAGCTGCTTAGACCTAGTTTGCTCCTCTATCACAAGGGACTGCCCAAACCGAATGAAAATTGGGAAGTGATCACTCCCCATAGTGTACCCTTCCCATGTGTTCCACATTGCCCTACTAGCCAGCTGGGCTGATACTATGGATAGGTCTATAGATGACACGTTCCCTGTTCTAATGTCAAACCTGGTGGCCCTAGTGTCGTTTAAACACACCAACCCGTGCAGCTCCATCATGTCTTCTACCACCTGTCCATTCGTATCTGTGCTGTTACTGCCCCACAATTGGTTATGTGCATTAAAATCACCTACCCATACTAAGTGTTGCCCTATCCCACTAAGCATTTCTTCAAGCTCAACAATATCCAAACTTGCACATGGATTATAAAAGTTCACCACTCCCACCTTTCCCTGGCTCACCCACACATTCACCGCAACACACTCCAATTCAGTGTTTAAAATCAGCCGTTCATATTGCACCCCCACCTTCACAAATATTGCACACCCCCCTCCAGGTCTATCTTCCCGATCTTTCCTTATAGCGTCATACCCAGGAATGACAAAGTCTAAACAAGGTTTTAGCCACGTCTCTTGAATACAAATCACATCAGGCTTTCCCTCTTTCAGCTGACCTACACATCGTTTAAACTCTTGGCCATTTGCAATAAGGCTACGGGCATTCCACTGGAGGATGTGAAACATTCAGTTATCTGATGCCAGGCCGAAGTGGATCTCCTTCTTCGTCCTCTACTGACGCACTTTGTGAACTGCGCACACTATTCAAATTAAGATGCTCTGGGGAAACAGACAAATCCAAAAATCTCCCTGCCTCCTTGGCTCGCACTTTCGAATCACTTCCGGGGGACGTTTGTGTTTCAAAGGAAAATCGCAAAATGTAATTTAGACGGTCATTATTGGTTTACTGCATTTTCGTTTTAATTGGATCCACAGAAAACAAAAAAACAAACCAATATTTCAATTTTGCATTAAATTCAAATATTGAGAATCAAAAACATCCCTTGTTATTCGTTTTTTCAATGTTGGTTTTATTTAGAAAATCAAAAGAACGAATGATACACGGATTTATCATGACTCTGTGTATCGTCTTTTTGTCTATGTATCACCTACTAGTCGCTTGGATCAAAAGCGACTAGTTGGGAAACCACCCAACCTGGCAACCCTGCTGCGTAGGGTAGTTTTCTTCTTTCTTTTTTTTACAGCAGTTAGACCAGTACTTAAACCAAACTTTACACAAACATTTTACTCTTAAAACCCACATACTGTATTACTACAAAGAACCATCAACATCTCGCCTCATATTGCATTAAAAGTGACATCTGTGTCTTAATGCGTTCATGTTCAAACTTTTTTATTTTAATTCACGGACTATATGTCCACCATGTTGGTTTGCTTCGGCTGCCGTGAGACACGAACGAGGAGGCAGTGCAAACCGACGTCACACCGGTGATCAAGATTGGTTCATTATTTTTGCTATCTTGAGAGAGTTTGAATTGCGCTCAATCCCAGACCCTTGAGTTCAGCGAAGTACTTCATCACCACTGTGTATAAAGTGAAAAAACAATGACATGTGAAGCGTCTTTGAGTGTCCTGAAAAGCGCTATATAAAACATTATTATTATTAATTATTTTTGATTAATCCGAGTGAGGCCGCCTAGTGGTTGCAAACACTGTGCTGCCGTATAATTTTCAGCTTGGAAAAAACTGAGCTGCTAAGGTCATACTCAACAGTGGATTTCATTACATAATTATTATTTGTTTGTGGTTTAAAAGATAAGTAGTTGAGCTGTAGAAGTAACCACCTAAGCGCATTTATGATCAGGGATCTAACTTTAAAAAGCCAGAGTGTGTGTATAATCGATAAATCGTTGTTGACTGCTGCGTAGTGGCTGATCCGTGTCACTGATGGGGCTTTGTGTGAGCTGCAGATCTGCTCTCCCCCAGGACCCTCCAGTCTGGGGCCACTGACCTGGAACTGAGCCAAACTATCAGCCTCCAAAACCATCTTACGACACACCAGAAGGCCTGACCTTCACAGCCAGATTTAAAGCTGGAGTACGTAACTTTGTATGTAAGTTATCTAAAGAGAAAGAGTGAGAGTAAAATATCTCTATCAGATCACAAGATGATAATCTCATTAGAAAACTTTTGTATGAGAAACAGCCTTCTGAGTTACTGTTTGACACTTTGGGTTGAGAGCTGAGAGCTGGATGAGGGTGGTCCGCTCTTTTTCACTTTTTTGTCCTAAAAAATCTGATCTAAAGATTTGAACACTAGTGATAGAAGAAAACTGTTTTAGAGACAGGAACTAGTGACATGGATTTTACTATAAGTAAAAATGTTGGTTATAAATGTATGTACCCCAGCTTTAAAATTGATTGCTTTCATGTTACAACTTTGTTCCTCATCAGTTGCAGACCTGGAGTTCAAGAACATCCCTCCCATCCCAAACTTAAAAGAACTACTACAGCCAATGTTAAATAATATTTCAGGTGAGCCAGCTCACAACTGCGTCAGTCCCACAGTCAGTTTTGTCACAGACCAAACTGTGGACAAAACTCTGGAATATACATTGTATCCAGCAGCTCCTATAAAACTATCAGGATTAGGACAGCGTCGCCGTGGTGTAATATCCAACTGCATACTATACTATACTATACATATATATGCTGTGGTCCTGTTTATACGTGTTTGTTAATGACAATGATTATTAACAAATGTGTGTAATTTTTTTCATGTATTAAATTGAAACAATTGTTTCCTGATCGTAAATCTATTTTAATACGCTAAACTTTACATACACCTCGCTCTTTTTTCTCTCGCTCTGTCCCCTCTACCTCCAAGGCGCTCTCCTCACCGCCGAGCGCTCCCATCCACACACACACACACACACACACACACACACACACACACACACACACACACACACACACACACACACACACACACTGCCCACAGAGTTGCACTTATGAGAGACAGATCTCACAACACTGGATATGTTGGAGTTCTTTTCTCTTTTTTCTCTCCCCTTTTTCGAATTGCTTTCAATAAGTTTTGCCTCATCCATCGCGACGTCCTCGATGCTTAAATATGCCGTGCTTTGCATAGATCAAAGCCACAGCTCTTGCAAATCACACACAGCTTCTACTATTTAAAACAATTCCTCACTGGGTGCTGTTAAACGCACAGCCAGAGCTCCGCGCTGCTGCAGCCAGTTTGGCCACAATTCCGTTTTACGGACGTCTGACGGGAAGCAGCCAACGTGCGTCAACGGAGACGCGCCCGGTGGAGTCCTGGCCTTATCCACGCATTTGTCACCTCAAGGCTTAGATACTGTATTGCCCTGCCGGCAGCATTCCCAAAATCATCCAGCCTTTGAGCCCGAAGGTCGTGGGTTCGGGCCCACCACGAGACCTTCTCCACCAATTCCACTGATGTCTGCTGTCGTTGTGTCCTTGGGCAAGACTCTTTGCCTATAAGGACTCTTTGCCTATAAGGAGCGCGGAAGTGATGTTCGCTGCTTGCCTTGATGTGTATGTGTGTGCATCAAACTGAAATTTCCCCATTGTGGAAATGGGCTTCCAGCTCGTCCAAAATACATCAGCAAGGATCTTAAAGTGATTGTCTGGAGTTTGTCAGAAAGAAAGAGAGAGAGGTACTTGATTTGAAAAAAACGACGCAAGCTCCCTCTCCCTTCCTTTCTGATTGGTCTACACCTACGTTTCCGTAACACTTTTAAATGTTAATCAGAGAACACATTATACATATACATCATTAATACACATGCACGGAGGTTTTCAGAATTATTTGTTAACGTTTTAATGAAAAAAATAATGTTTTTATGCACAAAAAAAGCAATCGCGGCAAACCCGGAAGAAGCTATTATCATGAATTGCACATTATAGGACACATCTGCAGAAGATCTGATTATGGATATAGGTTCAGTATATACATAAGTAACTCAGCGCGGATGTTCAGAATTCAGTTTTCATGAAGTTCCAGAGCCTAATGGCGCGTTCAGACCGGACTTTACTTTGGCGTCAAAAGCGTCAGATTTGCATTGAAAGTGAATGGTGAAGCGCGTCAAAAGCTTCAAAAGTCGCGAGTAATACGCGCAACACTTGAAGCTTTTGACGCGTGAATCGCTCGCGTCTCTGTCAAACATAGATTTTAGCCTGAGACTCCAAATCTAAAGCCAGTTTTATTTGAGTGTAGTGCTTTTAGTGTGACCTTGTTTTTTTGTAGTTTTATATACTGACTTTGGCTTGAGCCTGGGACAGTCCTGATTGATAGCCCTCCCCCTCATGATTGATTGGTCGGACTGGAGGACTTTCCCCTTTTTAAAACCCGGGCAGAGGGACTGAGAGGAGGAAGGAAATCGGAAGCGTTACGGGGGACGAGGACAGAGGACAAGGGGAAACAAGGACCAGCACGCACCAGGACCGGCACGCACGCGGAGCAGCACGCACGAGGAGCAGCACGCCCCAAGGAGAGACCTGCAGAGCCCACATACAACGCCCCGTAAAGCTGAGTATACAGGGACGTGATCAAGTAGCCTCAGTTTGTGTGTGTGTGCGTGCGCGTGAGACCGGAGCGTGATTGCCCACTCTCTCCGCAGCTGCATTGGCGTGGCGCATCAGGCCCCAGCCCAAGGAGCAGCGGACCCGGCCCAGCGGACCCGGCCCAGCGGAGCAGCGGACCCGGCCCAGCGGATCCACCTCAGTGGAGCACTGTATATAACGCCAGACAAGCTGAGTACTTACAGGGACGTGAAAGAGCTGCCCCAGACTCTGTGTGTGTGCGTGCGCGTGAGACCGGCGCCTGATTGCTCGCTCTCTCAGCAGCTACCCTGGTGTGGCGCACCAAGCCCCGGTGGAGCAGCAGACCCGGCCCAGCAGAGCGGACCAGTGCGCCAGGCCCAGCCCGAGCCCCAGCAGAGCGGAGCAGCGCGCGCCAGGCCCAGCCCGAGCCCCAGCAGAGCGGAGCAGCGCGCGCCAGGCCCAGCCCGAGCCCCAGCAGAGCGGAGCAGCGCGCGCCAGGCCCAGCCCGAGCCCCAGCAGAGCGGAGCAGCGCGCGCCAGGCCCAGCAGAGAGCGGCCCCAGCAGAGAGCGGCCCCAGCAGAGAGCTCCTCCTTAACCTTTTATTTTGACCAGACCTTAAGACCCTTAGTCTTATTTTAAACTCTTAATTGGCCATTTTAATTAGCGCCATAGGGCATTTTATAATCATATTTATTAATAAAAGTATCTGAAGTCTAAGCCTGTGCATATTCATTCTTAAACACTTACTGGTTGCTCCACACCTGACATCTCTTTCCGCGTCAAAAAATCCCTTGACGCCGAAGCTGAGCAAAGCTGAGCTTTTGGAGCTTTGACGCGGGCTTCAACCAATCAGGAGACGAGCAGCAGCAGCAGCAGCTCCAAGGCTCCATGACAGTCTGTCTCTGTCATGGAGAGAAGTCATGTAACTACTACTGCTGCTGCTGTTTTATCGTCATTAATGTTATTTGTATGAGTAGTAACGTTCTTTATAAGTGAGTAACAAAACCATTGTACACATGCTGTGTAGAAAACGTAGTTTATTTAAAATAAGAACAAGCTGACGATGAGTCTGGCTCAGGGCGAGGCAGCTCCAGGCGGGCAGAAGCGAGAGCGAGGTGGGGAGAGGCGAGCTCCGAGGTTTGGGAACTCAAAACTGGGCGAGTGACATGCGGAAGTACAGCTGAAAGCGAAACTTCTTCGTACGCTGCTCCTGGAGTAAATGACGAAACTCTGCAAACACTGCAGCCTCTCAAGTCTGTGGTGAACCCAGAACACGTTTTGTAGAAACCCCACGATACCGTTATTTGGCTTTTTATAACAAATAAAAGCTCGCTGCTCTCTGGAAAATCCACCGTCAACTACAGGCAACAGAGAACGCGTCACTCGCGTCAAAAGCTTCAAGCACCAAAATGACAAAAATGACCTGGCGTCAGTTGACGCGCGTCAAAAGCTGTTTGAAGCTTTTGGTCTGAACGCACCATCTTAGAGACTTGATTCGGAGGTTCCGCGAACACAAACAACTGAGCATGCGCGCAGCTACGAGCATCAGCGCCGATGATTGACAGCCCTTGGCATGACTCGATTGGTTAATGTGGACGGCATCGTGGATTCTGAACTATAGCTAAGAGAAGGGAAGGCGGGACTTGCCTGTAATATTAGAATTAATAAAATGACTTATTTTATATCAACATTTAAGGCCAGGAGGTCAATTTAACACATTAACCTAAAATTTGTAATTCATTTAGAGTTACAGACTATCACTTTAAGGGACACCAAATGGAGGGAACACTTAATGCCAGTGATAAAATCACTATAGTATATCACTATATATCAACTGAAGGATTTTATCTCCATTTCTTATGCACTGTAGTTATTTATCTTATTTTATTTTTTTAATTCCTTGTGTAATTTTGCAGAGGCAAAAACCCGGGACTGGGAGGAGTTCGGAGAGTCCATGGAGCATGACTATCGGTCGGCCTCGAAGAGATTCTGGCAAACCGTCCGGCGCCTCAGGAGGGGGAACCAGTGCTTTGCCAACACCGTGTACGGTGCGAGTGGAGAGCTGCTGACCTCGACTGGGGATATTGTCGGGCGGTGGAAGGAATACTTCGAGGTTCTCCTCAATCCCCCCGTCACGTCTTCTGTTACAGAGGCAGAGGCTGAGGATGTTGGGGCGGATACTTCTATCTCCCTGGCAGAGGTCACCAAGGTGGTTCGCAGCCTCCATGGTGGCAAGGCGCCGAAAGTGGATGAGATCCGTCTTGACTATCTTAAGTCTCTGGATGTTGTGGGACTGTCTTGGCTGACACGTCTCTGCAGCATTGCGTGGCGATCGGGGCGGTGCCAATGGAGTGGCAGACCGGGGTGGTGGTCCCTCTCTACAAGAAGGGGGACCGGAGGGTGTGTTCCAATTATCGTGGGATCACACTCCTCAGCCTCCCCGGTAAGGTCTACTCCAAGGTACTGGAGAGGAGGCTACGGCCGATGGTCGAATCTCGGATTCAGGAGGAGCAGTGTGGTTTTTGTCCCAGTCGCGGAACACTGGACAGGCTCTATTCTCTCCATCGGATACTCGAGGGTTCATGGGAGTTTGCCCAACCTGTCCACATGTGCTTTGTGTATTTGGAGAAGGTGTTCGACCGTGATCCCTGGGGTGTCCTTTGGGGGGATCTCCGGGAGTACGGGGTCCGGGATCCTCTGCTGAGGGCCGTCCGGTCCCTGTATGACCGGAGCCAGAGCTGTGTTCGCATTGCCGGCAGTAAGTCAGACCTGTTCCCGGTGCATGTTGGCCTCCGCCAGGGCTGCCCTTTGTCACCGGTTCTGTTCACTGTGTTTATGGACAGAATTTCTAGGCGCAGCCAGGGGCCGGACGGGTCCGGTTCGGGGACCGAAGGATTTCATCCCTGCTTTTTGCGGATGATGTTGTCCTGTTGGTTCCAACGAACCAGGACCTGCAACATGCACTGGGACGGTTTGCAGCCGAGTGTGAAGCGGCTGGGATGAGAATCAGCACCTCCAAATCCGAGGCCATGGTGCTCAACCGGAAAAAGGTGCTTTGCCCTCTCCAGTTGGGTGGGGAAGTCCTTCCTCAAGTGGAGGAGTTCAAGTATCTCGGCATCTTGTTCACGAGTGAGGGACGGATGGAGCATGAGATTGACAGGCGGATTGGTGCAGCGTGCGCAGTGATGCGGTCGCTGTATCGGACCGTTGTGGTAAAGAGGGAGCTGAGCCGAAAGGCAAAGCTCTCGATTTACCGGTCAATCTTTGTTCCCTCCCTCACCTATGGTCATGAGCTTTGGGTAATGACCGAAAGAACAAGATCGCGGATACAAGCCTAGAGATAGGGTGAGGAGCTCAGTCACACGGGAGGAGCTCGGAGTAGAGCCGCTGCTTCTCTACGTCGAGAGGAACCAGTTGAGGTGGCTCGGGCATCTGTTCCGGATGCCTCTTGTACGCCTCCCTGGGAAGGTGTTCCGGGCACGTCCCACCGGGAGGAGGCCCCGGGGAAGACCCAGGACACACTGGAGGGACTATGTCTCTCAGCTGGCCTGGGAACGCCTTGGGATCCCCCCGGACGAGCTGGAGGAAGTGTGTGTGGATAGCGAAGTCTGGGTGTCTCTGCTTAGACTGCTGCCCCCGCGACCCGGCAACGGATGAAGTGGAAGAAAATGGATGGATGGATGGATTTTGAAAGTTTTAATGGTTTTAATCTTTTGTGTGATTTGAATGTTTTAATTGTGATTTTGGTGTTTGTTTTATGTGATGATTTGTGATGTGGACTGTGAAGCGCTTTGTGTTGCCCTGTGTAGGAAAGGCGCTCTACAAATAAACTTTGATTGATTGATTGATTGATAGTAAAGTAAAAGTATAAAATTAAATTTCAAATCATTCTTTTAAAATACAAAGCCATAAATGGTATGGCATCATCCTACCTCCAAGAAACGTTAGTATCATACCAACCAAACCGAGCACTGCACTCGCAAAACGCCAGATGTCTGGTGGTTCCTAAAGTGTCAAAAAGCACAGTCGGCAGCAGAGCATTTAGCTCCCAAGCTCCTTTACTGGGGAATCAGCTCCCTATCCGTGTTACACAGTATCTACATTTAAGATCAGGCTTCAAAGGGTCCTCTATAATTTAGCGTATGGTTAGGTATTGGTAAGACTAGAAAATGCAACCTTAAGTTTAAGGTTTCAGTCAAGCTGCACATGGAGTTAGTTTGCTGGGAGAACTATTCTCTCCTCTTTCCTACTTTATCTGTCATCATTATGACTCCGGCTTTAGTCTGTTCATTGCTATTCACCCACTGTCCAATTGTTTGTTTCATGCCGTGATGGGAACCCTGAACCCGGCATCCTTCATCTGTACCTGCAGACTGTCCAGCCCAGCCTGACTGGCTGCGCTCCCCCCCCCGCCTGGGTGCTGCTTCAGTCCGGCATCGCGTCTGTCCAGCTTCCACAGTCTGAGTCCTGCACCGCGTGGCCTTGGTCCTCATTCTGTAGGACCAAGGCAAATAAGTAATGCGTGCGTCCGTGGGTGGCGGATCCATGTCTCAATGTGGACCTCCCCAAGGTTTCTCACCTTTTCCCACTGGGTTTCAGAGTTGTTCCTTGCGGAAGGATCTGTCTGACCCTTGTCTGGGTCTTACTAAAAGTACAGTGGTGAGGATCCAGGGCACTCAACATTCAACAATATTTATGGACATTTATCAACATTTGTAGACATTGGTCATCTGCTCCTTATGGACCAATGGCTATGTGTTTTTTAAAATTATTTTTTAAATCTGGTCCTCCCGTTTTGGCGCAGTGGACGAGCTCACATGATGCTTTTCACCAAGTACATGTGTGTTGCTTTCATGCTCGTGCACAGAAAGGCACGGCCGCGTTCTGACCAATTGAAGCTGCTGATCCGAGCGGAGCTAGAGCGGGAGACAAACAAGCAGAGTTTGTTGCACAAAAGTTTGAATTTATAGAAAACCAAAGGATTTAACGAGAAAAAAAGCTTAAAGATGACAAGGGACACTAAAATCCCCACGAAGTCCGACCTTTATGAGACCTGTAGATTCTCTGTCAGCTGAGGTCCAGCTGTTTTAGTTTACATTGAGTTCTATGGAAAGATCAAGGCTCCTGTGGACTCACCACCTCCAGGAGAATCAGTGAGGGGCTGGTGCGTTTACCACGGTCACCATATCAAGATTGATATGGTGTATTGTTACCTTATTTTAATGAAAATTTCTCGCAACTTATTATTTGGGAGTTTGTTTCCAGTTGCCAAAGTGATGGTTGCCTGGATATTGCACTAGTGATTTCCATTGCAATGGTTGCCATAGTGATGGTTGCCATGGCAATAGTCACCATGGCAACAATGTGATGGAAATAGTCACCATGGTAACTGTTGCTTTAGCAATTGTCACAATGGGGACCGTTGTTGTGGCAATAGTCCCCATGGCAACCGTTACTATGGCAATAGTCAGTAGGGCAACTTTTACCCTGGAAACCATCACATGGCAACTGCTGCTATGGCAACAGCTATCATGGCAATGGGAACTATCACCATCAACCAACTGTCACCATGACAATTGACAGACAATCTGGTGAATTTTGTTTAAGTGTCAATTTATTGCAACTTCTTTGGTCTCTCT